ACATTATAATGCCCACACAGCTGAAAGGGCGAGCATTTTGGGTGGGATGGGGATTCGAACCCGGGACCCACAGATTGCGAGTCGAGCTCCCTAACCACATGGCCATGTCGGGCCATCAATAAGATACAAATCATTTTTAGGCTTAGTTCAACATCTTATATAACATTAAAGTTTAGAATATTTACATAATTCTTACCATTTATACATTTTGGTGGTGGACAACAGTTTGGAGGTTTGGGTACAAAAACTGGGTCAATGTCCCATTCCAAGCATTCACTGACATGAGGGGCAAAGTGATGAGGGCATTCAATAATGGCACAATTGGCCTGTAGATCAGGGCCACAGTGACAAACTGCTCTGCAGTTGTCATAGAATTCTTCTCCAACATGATACGACTTGCCTTTGAATTCACACATGGGCATGGGAGCACTAAGAGCTAGAGAATTAAGCACTCTGTTATCACACTTCAAAACCTGGATTATATATATTATTATACTTATAAATTGGGAGTGGTGAACTTTAATGCATTTTTTAACTTGTAAAGATCAGTTCAGTTAACAACCAGCCTAAAGTACATATTTAATTGAACATTTCTTTAAAAAATAAACTAGAGAACCTTATCCCAAGCAAAATCCAAATATTTTAGATTTTGTTTTAGATTTTTCTCATAGAAACAGAAAAATGAATACAAAAACATCAGTAATAGTGTAATCTACATGCAGCATCATAAGAAGTGTTAAAAACGAAAACCAATATTCCTATAGCATTAACAATCATACTCAAACTTAACCTATAAATCACAAACATTCACAGATAAACTCAAAGAATCTAACGATGGCTCCACGAAATAGATAGTTAGCAGATAGCTCTTCAAATGTAAATCACAATATAACACAATATTACTTCCCTTAATATAGTTATTTTGTTGTTCACGTGTAGTTAAACAGGTAATAAACTATGATGTCGATCACCTGTAGTTAAATAGGATAATTTAACTATGCTATTGATCACCTGTAGTTAAATAGGTAGTAAACTATGCTATTGATCACCTGTAGTTAAATAGGTAGTAAACTATGCTGTTGATCACCTGTAGTTAAATAGGTAATAAACTATGCTGTCGATCACCTGTAGTTAAATAGGTAATAAACTATGCTGTCGATCACCTGTAGTTGAATAGGTAGGTTCAAAGGATGTCTACTAGAATTATACCTGGGATAGAAGGATTGTCATACGTGCAGAGATTAAGATCTCTGAAATTGTTTTCTCTTGAAAAATAAGAGTGAGAGGGGATCTGATTGCGGTGTTTAAGATTGTT